GCTTGCGGGTTGATGTGGTGCTGCTTGAAGCGACGCCTCCAATGCTTCCATCTCCAGCAGCTGATGGGGATGGCGAGAGAGGAAGGGGGGGACGAGGGGGGTGGGAGATGAGGAGAGGAGGAAGGGAAGAAAGAAGGATTTTGTTAAGGGTGTGACGAAGAGACACATGTGCTAGGTGGGAGAAAGCGCCAACATTTGAAAATCTATAACATTCTTGCTGTAATGTTTTTGACAGGTTAACTCAGAAAACCAAACAAAATAGGAAACTAACAGACAAGGAACTCTTGTTTGTTTGTTTCTCTGTTTTTTTGTTTTGTTTTGCTTTTTTTTTTCTTTGAGTTTCTTTTATTTCTTTCTTTCCTTCTTTCTCTCTGCTTTTTCTTGTTCTCATCGAAGCATGCCAGTTACATTCTCTTGCCCAAGACACGTCCTTCTTGTCTGTGCATACTGAGTCAGTTTGTAACGGGTCAGACAAGCAACAACTCACCTTGGGACGCAAATTCGCCTGACCAGCATCAGCATTCCTCCTCTCTCCCTCCCTTGCACCATGCCCTCCTCCTGCTGCTGCTGCTTGTGGTTCCACCACCAGGGCTGTCAGATCCTTGACAGAAAACACTCCCAGCACTTGCAGCACTCTCACCACTCCCAGCACTTGCAGACAAGGCAATCCACTCAACTCACCTCGGGGTGCAGATTTGCCGGACCAACTTCATCTTTCCTCGTCTCTCCCTCCCTTGCTGCTCCTCCCGCTGCTGCTGGTAATGGCTCCACCACCAGTGCTGTCAGGTCCTTCACAAAAAATACCCGCAGCACTCCCACCACTCCTGGTGCCCCTTCAGCTCCCCCTCCCCCTCCGCCTACCCCTCCCCCTTCCCCTTCCCCTTTCCATCGCCCTTCTCCTGCTTTCCACCCGCCCCCTTCCCCTCCCCATCCCTGCGTTCTCTTGTCCCCCACTCCCTTTTCTCCCCACGTTCCTCAACCTCTCCTCCTTCCCCAACCCCTCCCCCCACCTCTACTCCCAAAGACCTTAGGTAGACAAGAGGGGGGAGAGGGGTGTTGCTTTGGGGATCCACTCCCCATGCTGACGTGGAAAGGGAGTGGCCTGACGTGGATTTGGCCCAGGATGACGGGCGAAGCGGGAGGGGTGGGGAGGAGTAGGGGAGGGGGAAAGGGGAGGAGAGGGTGGGGGGGTTGGACGCGGAGGAAGAAAGGGGGAATGGCTGGTTGGGGTTGGGGCAAGCAGAGGGGGAGAGAGGGGGAGTGTGGCCGAAAGGGGAGAGGTGGGCGAGTGAGGGTGTGGAAGAGGAGCGAGGTAGGGTGGGAGCGAGTGAGGGAGTGAGTGAGGGAGTGATTGAGGGGCTGAGGAAAGAGGAAGAGGTGCGACGGGGCGAGGGGGAGGAGGGGCGGTGAGAGGAAGGGGAGGAGGAGGCGGAGGAGGAGGAGGTGAAGGGGGAGCGGAAGGGGGAGAGGGAGCGAAGGATGGAAGAGGAGGAGGAGGAAGGAGAGGGAGGAGGGGAGGAGACGCAGGCATGCGTAAGAGTGTAATGCTGCAGTGTCAGCCTGAGGGAAGGCGGGGTGGAAAGGAGGAAAAGGGGAGAGGGGGAGGGAGGGGAGGGGGGAGGGGGTAGGGGAGGCGGAAAGAGGACTTTGAAGTGGACGAAAAAGGCGCAGGCATGCGTAGGAGTGTAGTGCTGCAGTGTCAGCCTGAGGGTGGGTGGCGGAGAGGGGTGAGGGGGGAAATGGGTGGGAAGAAAAGAGGGAAGAGAGTATTTTTCTTTGAGGGCAATCTCGAGGAAGAGCGGGGTGGGGAGAAGAGGAGGCATGTGTAGGAGTGTAATGTTGCAGTGTCAGCCTGAGACGGAGAGGGGGAGATGGGTGAGAGACTAGAAAAAGGTGTGGGAGTTGTGAGGGGTGAGAAGGGAGCGAGGGGATGAAGAGGGGTTAGAGGGGGAGAGGTGAGGTGAGGAGAAGCGGGAAGTGAGAAGCTAGCAGAAGGCGTGAGTGGTTACCGAGGCAAGCAGCAAGATGTGGCAGAGTAGCAGAGCATGGCTTGGGGCTTCTTTTGAGTCGACTCAAAAGCATGGCTTGGGGCTTGGGGCTTGGGGCTTGGGGCTTGGGTTGTAGACTAGAACAAACGGCCAGAATGGGTACCGGGAGGAAGGTTTGAGTGTGGTTACCAGGGAGAGGGTGGAGGCGAGCAACAGGTTGTGGCAGAGCAGCAGAACAAGGCTCTGGGTTTGACTCAGATAATTACCACGGAGAGGGCATGAGTGAGTGGTTACCAGGGAGAGGGTGGAGGCGAGCAACAGGTTGTGGCAGAGCAGCAACGACGAGCCTTGAAACGGCGTTTTTGAGGCGCGAGCATACCTTTGAGGCGCCTCGAAAAAAGTTTTGAGGCGCCTCGAAAAAAGTTTTGAGGCGCCTCGAAAAAACTTTTGAGGCGCCTCGAAGGCGTTTGCTAGGAGATGAGCGAGCAGCAGAGCAACACTTGGGGCTTGGTTTTGAGTTTTGGAGCGTGGGGTTTGGGACTTAAGGTTTGGAGCTTGGGTTTTGGAGCTTGGGGTTTGGGTTTGGAGGGTTACCGGGGAGAGGGTGGAGGCGAGCAGCAGGTTGTGGCAGAGCAGCAGCGCCCCTCCTTGAAAGGCGTTCCGCCAGGCGATGGGCGAGCGACTGGTGGGAGGAGGAGGGATGGGAGGGAGAAGGGAAAAGCAGAGCTGAGGGTGATTGAGAAAAGAGGTTGTGGCAGAGCAGCAGCGCCCCTCCTTGAAAGGCGAGATGGGAGGGAGGCGTTTTAAGAGAGAGTAAAGTTGAAACAAAACGGCAGCAGCGCCCCTCCTTGAAAGGAGAGATGGGAGGGAGGCGTTTAAGAGAGAGTAAAGTTGAAACAAACGGCAGCAGCGCCCCTCCTTGAAAGGCGAGATGGGAGGGAGGCGTTTAAGAGAGAGTAAAGTTGGAAACAAAACGGCAGCAGCGCCCCTCCTTGAAAGGAGAGATGGGAGGGAGGCGTTTAAGAGAGAGTAAAGTTGAAACAAAACGGCAGCAGCGCCCCTCCTTGAAAGGAGAGATGGGAGGGAGGCGTTTAAGAGAGAGTAAAGTTGAAACAAACGGCAGCAGCGCCCCTCCTGAAAGGCGAGATGGAGGGAGGCGTTTAAGAGAGAGTAAAGTTGAAACAAAACGGCTAGCAGCGCCCCTCCTTGAAAGGCGACATGGGAGGGAGGCGTTTACGAGAGAGTAAAGTTGAAACAAAACGGCAGCAGCGCCCCTCCTTGAAAGGCGAGATGGGAGGGAGGCGTTTAAGAGAGAGTAAGTTGAAACAAAACGGCAGCAGCGCCCCTCCTTGAAAGGCGAGATGGGAGGGAGGCGTTTAAGAGAGAGTAAGTTGAAACAAAACGGCAGCAGCGCCCCTCCTTGAAGGCGAGATGGGAGGGAGGCGTTTAAGAGAGTGTAAAGTTGAAACAAACGGCAGCAGCGCCCCTCCTTGAAAGGCGAGATGGGAGGGAGGCGTTTAAGAGAGAGTAAAGTTGAAACAAAACGGCAGCAGCGCCCCTCCTTGAAAGGAGAGATGGGAGGGAGGCGTTTAAGAGAGAGTAAAGTTGAAACAAAAACGGCAGCAGCGCCCCTCCTTGAAAGGCGAGATGGGAGGGAGGCGTTTAAGAGAGAGTAAAGTTGAAACAAAACGGCAGCAGCGCCCCTCCTTGAAAGGCGAGATGGGAGGGAGGCGTTTAAGAGAGAGTAAAGTTGAAACAAAACGGCAGCAGGCGCCCCTCCTTGAAAGGCGAGATGGGAGGGAGGCGTTTAAGAGAGAGTAAAGTTGAAACAAAACGGCAGCAGCGCCCCTCCTTGAAAGGCGAGATGGGAGGGAGGCGTTTTAAGAGAGAGTAAAGTTGAAACAAAACGGCAGCAGCGCCCCTCCTTGAAAGGAGAGATGGGAGGGAGGCGTTTAAGAGAGAGTAAAGTTGAAACAAAACGGCAGCAGCGCCCCTCCTTGAAAGGCGAGATGGGAGGGAGGCGTTTAAGAGAGAGTAAAGTTGAAACAAAACGGCAGCAGCGCCCCTCCTTGAAAGGCGAGATGGGAGGAGGCGTTTAAGAGAGAGTAAAGTTGAAACAAAACGGCAGCAGCGCCCCTCCTTGAAAGGCGAGATGGGAGGGAGGCGTTTAAGAGAGAGTAAAGTTGAAACAAAACGGCAGCAGCGCCCCTCCTTGAAGGCGAGATGGGAGGGAGGCGTTTAAGAGAGAGTAAAGTTGAAACAAAACGGCAGCAGCGCCCCTCCTTGAAAGGCGAGATGGGAGGGAGGCGTTTAAGAGAGAGTTAAAGTTGAAACAAAACGGCAGCAGCGCCCCTCCTTGAAAGGCGAGATGGGAGGGAGGCGTTTAAGAGAGAGTAAAGTTGAAACAAAACGGCAGCAGCGCCCCTCCTTGAAAGGCGAGATGGGAGGGAGGCGTTTAAGAGAGAGTAAAGTTGAAACAAAACGGCAGCAGCGCCCCTCCTTGAAAGGCGAGATGGGAGGGAGGCGTTTAAGAGAGAGTAAAGTTGAAAGAAAACGGCAGCAGCGCCCCTCCTTGAAAGGCGTATGCCAAGCGATGGGCGAGAGACTGATGATGGGGAGGGGAGGGGGAAGAGTTTCAGAACAAGAGCAGAGAGAGAGATAGTGGTGGAGAGGTAGTTGAGGAGAGCAGCGGCGAGAAATAGGTTAAGGGGTATGCGTGCAGGGACAAGGGAGTGACTCACCCGGTGAGGGGAGTGTGAGGGAGCGGGGGAGGTTCAATTGACGACAGGAGAGGCGGTAGGAGAGGCGGTAGGAGAGGCGGTTGGAGAGGCGGTTGGAGAGGGAATCGAGGAGAGCAGGCATGCGCACTCGAGGAGGCGTGGGGTATGCATGCCACACGCCTCCTCGAGTGCGCATTCCTGCTCGCCTCAACCTGTTGCTCGCCTGTGCCACAGCGAGCGGCATGCATACCCCACGTATGCCTTTTGAGGCGCCTCAAAAGTCGCACTCGAGGAGGCGTGGGGTATGCATGCCACAGCGAGTCATCCAAGCGAGGAGAGAGTGACTCACCAGAGCAGGGAGCGTGAGGGAGCGGGAGAGGTTGAGCTGGCGGCAGGAGAGGCGGTTAGAGAGAGAGTCGAGAAGAGCAGGCAGGCGCACTCGAGGAGTGGTGGGAGCGGATAGGGCGAAGGGGAATGCGAGGGCGGATGGTTCTGGGAGCCACCTGGAGGGATGAGGGGTGGGGGGGAGCGCAGTGAGGAGGGAAAAGGGGAGCAGTGAGGTGTGCGAGCAGTGAGGGGGAAGAGGAATGCGAGAGCGGAGGGTTCAGGTACCCGCCTGGAGGGATGAGGGGGGGGGGGGGGGGGGGGGGGGGGTTAAAGGAGGAGTGCGGGCAGGAAGTGGAAAGCATCGGTTGAGTCGACAAAACAAACGACAAGAGGAGGGGCAGAGGAGGGGAAGGTGAGAGAGGAGGTGAGAAGTGTGAGAGAGAGCAGTGAAAGCAGAAGGTGGGGAGGGGGGGTGGAGGGGGAAACGAGTACGATCCACACAAGTCAGAAGAGACAAAGTTTGGAGGAGCCTCTACAAGAGGCAAGTTTGGAGGAGCCTCTAAAAGAGGCAAGTTTGGAGGAGCCTCTAAAAGAGGCAAGTTTGGAGGAGCCTCTAAAAGAGGCAAGTTTGGAGGAGCCTCTAAAAGAGGCAAGTTTGGAGGAGCCTCTAAAAGAGGCAAGTTTGGAGGAGCCTCTACAAGAGCCAAGTTCGGAAGAGCCTCTACAAGAGGCAAGAGATACGCACCTGTGAGGAGGTCAGGAGGAATGCTTGCAGGCAGGCACGGGCTAAGTCAAAGTGTGAGAGAGATGAGAGAAAGGAGAGAGGAGAAAACAACATGCACTATACCCAGGCATGAGGCAGGAGGCAGGAGGCAGGAGGCAGAGGAGACACACACCTGTGAGAAAGTCCGGGAGGAAGGCTTGCAGGCAGGCACGGGCTAAGTCGGCTGAAAGGGGAACGGCCGACGGGGAATCGTGTGAAGGAGTGCTGGACTCAAGATCTGATGAAGTATTTGATGAGGGCCCAGTTGTTGCTTCTGAGGGGAGAGGAGGAGGAGGGTGGGGTTGCTGCTGCTGCAACAGGCGGTTGATGCTGCCGAAGAAGAGACAAAAAAGCCCATGCGCCTCCACCAGATACTGCCGAAGAGCTTCGTCGCGCACTGTAGCGTCGGGCGGCACGATGCCGTTCACCCCCCGACACTCCACCACCTGAGATTAGGTTCGGCATATGGGAAGCTGAAAGGTTAGGGCAGGTGGGCGGGGGTGTGGGGTGCGGAGTGTAGGGGAAGATGAAAGGTAAGGGTGGGGGGGGAGTATGGAAGATGCCCGGCTCACACTCCAGCAGCACGTGGCGGTGGAAGGAAGAGCGAGACTACGAGGTCTGTAATGACTGTGGGCATGTGCACGCGCCATGCACCCACCAGCACCACTCACCACCGCACTCACCATCACCATGAAGATGCCCGGATCACACTCCAGCAGCACGTGGCGGTGAGAGAAGGTGTGCTGACTACCACTGCCAGCCCCACTCACATCATGCACACTTCATAGTGCCTCAAGCACCCATCCAATCCACATGACACCATCACCGCACTCACCAGCACCATGAAGATGCCCGGCTCACACTCCAGCAGCACGTGGCGGTTGAAATGCGCTCGCATCACTTCACAGGGGCGATGGGGGGAGAAGATCCTGCAAGGGGAGGGGGGGAGGCGGCACAGTAGGGGGAGAGGAAGGGAGGGCAGCACGTGGCGGTTGAAATGCGCTCGCATCACCTCACAGGGGCGATGGGGGGAGAAGATCCTGACGGGGGCGGAAGGCAATACGTGGATAGGCAGCAGAGTGGGGAGCGGGGGGGGAGAGGGAGGGCAGCACATCGGGGCTTTAACGTGGGACTGGTGGGCGAGCAGGGGACACTGAGAGGGTGGTTCATTTGATGGGGGGGGAGCGGGAGGTAAGGAGGGCAGCGAGTGTGTTTATTGCCAGTGTGAATACTGCGAGTGTGACTGTCCAGTCTGCCTTTAGAGATTGTGACAATAGCGAGTATGGCTACCGCGAGGCACCTGGTGAATGCGAGGAGGCCCTCCCAGAGGCCCAGCAGCGCCAATTTCTCCGACGGCGGAGTCGCCTGTAACATAGGATATGACTATACTGGTGTGACTGCAACGTGTGTAACTCTAGCGAGTGTGACTATAGCGAGTCACATTTTATATGAGTCACCTGGTGAAGGCGAGGAGGCCCTCCCAGAGGCCCAGCAGCGCCACTTGCTCCGACGGCGGGGTGGCGGGCGGAAAGAATATGTCTATACGAGTGTGACTAAAACGTGTGTAAGTCTACCGGGGTGTGACTACAGCGAATGTGACGATACCTGGTGAAGGCGAGTAGCCCCTCCCAGAGGCCAAGTAGAGCCACTTGCTCGGACGGCGGAGTGGCGGGCGGAAAGAAGAACAGAAGCTTCTCCGCCTCTTCCCCCTCCCGCTTCCCCCTCCGCGAGTCGAACACGCACACGCGCACCGCGCTTCCCGCCGCTCCACCTCCCCCGCCGCCTCTCCCGCCGCTTCCCCCGCCGCCGCCCATCCCGGCTCCCCCTGCGCCCCCCCCGCCTTTCCCCATGCCGCGGGGAGACGCGCGGCGGGGCGAGAGCGCGGGGAAATCGCGACCACAAGGGGACTTCGACGCCGAATGAACTAACACGCGCGGAACGGCTGCGGAAGTGCGAATATGCGAAAACGCGAATTTGCGGAACGCGGAGACGCGGATATGCGGAGAATGAACGAAGTGCGTCGATAGCCAAGTGGCGGCTGAGCTTTTATAATGCGGAATGCGAATCCTGAAGAAAATTTGCAGTACAGTTCCGCGTTACTGCAAAACTCGATAGTTCCAATTGTACTGATAATTCTATGACTTGAGATCATTGCAGATCTGTTAAAACAATATATGTTGATAATGATCAAGATTCTTTCAACTTTGGTGAATCTCATTTTTCGCGTACAATTTCGACCAAGTGGCTCCATTCTGAGCCAAGAAAACAGTTTTCGTCACCTTGAAAGGCAAAGCGCTAACGGAGCGCGCTCACGAAAGAGACATTACTTACTAACTGTTGAAGGAATTTGGCCCTCGCCCTCGCATGGGCAAAACTGACATCGTGGTCGGGTGTGCGGGAGGTGCAGCCGACCTTCTGCAGGTGTGCAAGGGTTGCATGTACACGAGGTGTACTAGGGAATCCATGCAAGAGTAACTGAAGCTTCCCTAAGTGCAACACATATGTCTCGTGCAGATGTACTAGTGGCGCAACTCGTACAGAGGTTCGCGGATGTTCGTCTGCGTAGGGTCGCGTCTGACCCTGCGCACCCTTGAGATTGCACTGGCGAATTTTGGCCAGAAATTCGAATGTGCCTTCATTTCGACCAATCAAGAGCTGACATTTTGAAATATCGACCGAGGTGTTCGACAAAGGTGTTCGACGAAGGTTGTCGACCCGCGACGACGAAGGTCTGCCAGAATCCCAACCACTTGGACCATCGGGATAAAAGGGCTTGTTTGTGTAGCGAGTGAGTGCGCCCATAACCCTCAACGCCAACGTGCCTGTAACCCTTCCCTAGGATCAACCGGGGATCACCAATAGACCTCTGACACTCCTCCGCACTGGGATGCCCGAAGTGCACACACTTGGATTCGAACCCGAGACCTTCGCTCTGAAACAATGTCAGAATCCAAACCACTAAGACCATTGGGATAAAAGGGCTTGTTTGTGTAGCGGTGAGTGCGCCCATAACCCACCACGCCAACGTGCCTGTAACCCTTCCTTAGGATCAACCGGGGATCACCAGTGGACCTCTGACAAGGCCGTCAACCGGTGATGACGAAGGTCATCATCTTGCTGCAGGGTTGTCAATGACTTTACCTAGTTGACCAGGTTACCTGCTCGACGAGGTTCTGCGGAGGGTCGCGAACGTCGTCGAGGTTGTTGTGGCGGAGTCGACCGACGTGGCTCATCAGGTGCAAACCGTCAGCATGTGGCTGACAGCCTGCGCAATGTGATCGACAGTGCACGTCGTGCATAACTGTCTACAAGCACTTGCGAAGTGTTGAAATCACGAGGAATGAATGCACTAGGAAACAGGTGGGTACAAGTAGGAAAACCTAAAAGTGTTGTACCCCATATTGTCTACCCCACTACAGCCTACACCGACTATAGCATATAAATTTGACACACCCCCATAGGTAAAGTGGGGGAGAACAAGAGGTCATAAGACCAGTCAACCAAAGCACAGCAAGCTCAGGGTGGATCACAACGTCACCACACATTCCGAGCACAAGTTCAAGACCACAAGGCCAGTTCACATACAAGATCATATATATAAAGGCAAACAAGCAAGTGCAGGTATAGATAGATCACAGTACAAGCAAGGTCAAGAAGTGAGCAAGTGAGGCCAAGTAGGCACGAGACCTAGCATCATACAGCTGCGCTGATGATCACAAGGCGGAAGTGCCTTGGTAAAGATATCAGCAGTGTTGGCCTCAGAGGCCACGTAAGCAAGGCGCAGCTGACCACGCTGCTGCAGCTCACGAGCAAGGAAGTAGCGAAGAGCAATGTGCTTCGTTCTGTGCTCCATTCTGTGCTCCCGACACAAGGCCAGCATGGCCTTGTTGTCTACGTACAGAACTGGAGGAGAAAGAGGCGGCTCTCCTAGGTCAGTCAGCAGGTAGGTGAGCCAGCGTAGCTCCTGTGCAGCCATGGCCCCCGCGTAGATCTCAGCCTCACAGCTGGAGCCGAGAACAAAAGACGAGCGGGTAGACCGCCACGAAACAGAGCCGGAACCAAGGCTGAAGGTGTAACCCTGAGACGACCGATGCGTAGCCTGGTCGTCAGCCCAAGAAGCGTCTGCGTGACCTGTGAGGACCAGTGAACGTCGCCCTCCAAGCACTAGCCCCATGCCCGACGTACTGCACAAGTAGCGCAACACCCTCTTCGCTGCAGCCATATGCTCTGGTCGGTGTCTCCCAGGAGCAACATAGCGTGCCAAGATGCTAAGAGGGTATGCAAGGTCAGGTCGAGTGCAGGTCATCAGGTACATGAGGCAGCCAACAAGCTCTGGGTACGGGCCACTCGGCTCTACGGACTCATCCGAAGGCAGAGCTGAGAGCGAGTGGCGAGTAGGCAGAGGAGTGGCCTGAGGCGAGGAGTACGTGAAGTCGAAGCGCTGAAGGACCTGCTGCACCATGTGTGACTGAGTCAGGGTAATGGTGCGCTATGCTCTGTCCCGGGTGATCTGCAAGCCAAGGTAGCTGCGCAGTTCACCCAGGTCTGTGCACGTGTGTCTCTTCTGCAGCTCGGACTTCACGTAGGCGAGTCCAGCAGTGTCAGCAGTGACAAAGACCAAGTCATCGACGTACACGAGGACGTAGAAAGGCGGCAAAGAGGTGTCGGTGCGCAGAAACAGCGACGGGTCGGCTGTAGAAGGAGCAAACCCAAGAGCCGCAAGTGTAGTCCTCAGTGTGTCGTGCCACTCGGCGCCTGGCGTAGACCGTAGACTGGCCGCCGGAGGCTTCACTGGGTACCAGGAGGAAACAACCGAGTGAAGCCAGGTGGGCGGCGCAGCCAGATCTCCTCGTGCAGGCTGCCCTGCAGGAAAGCTGTGCTGAAGTCAAGAGAGTGAAGCTCGTAGTCGCGCTGAGCGGCTATGTGCAGCACCACCCGAAGAGTGGTCATCTTCGGGGTGGGAGAGAAGGTCTGTAAGTAGTCAACTCCCTGCCGCTGACTGAAGCCTCGAGCCACGTAACGCGCCCTGAAAATCCACATGCCACTGACGATGTTCGCCCCAGGTGGGGGAACCTCGTCGACGTAGGTGCCTGTGGACTTCCAGGAAGCCATCTCTGCGTCCATGGCTGACTGCCACTGAGAGGAGTAGGGACCCTCGATCGCCTCAGCGTACGATCGAGGAGTCGGGATGTCTGGTGCATCCAGGTCTCCCTCAGGGGCAATCAGCATGGACACGAGATGAGGCAAAGCAGCAGCAAAACACTGGAACTCCTCCTGCCTGTCCTCAAGGACGTCCGTGCCAAGAGCACACTCACCCCTGAAGGAAGGAGGACAGACAGACTCAGACTCAGCAACGAGAGTAGTGGCATACTCGAGACGACAGCGAGCAGCAAAGTCGGCAAGCTCAGCAACTAGGGTAGACACAGCAGTGGACGTAAAGGAGGGGTCAGTGACAACAGTAGCTAGAAGACGCGTGACAGTAGGACTGTCAGCACGAAGAGAGTCACACGTCGGGTCAGCAAAAGCAGGAAGAGAGGACTGTGGAGGAGACGGCAGCGGGACACGCAGTGGAGCAGTGGAAGGACGCAGTGCCATCTGGTGGGTGCCCGGGACCACAGGAGGACGCGGACGCGGAACACGACGACTAGTGCGAGCAGCACGAACAGGCGACGCAAGACGAGACGCAGGCTCAAGACGCTCAGCAAGACCTCCAGTAGGACCAGTGTAGGGCAAAGGAGCAAGCAGTGGGGAGGCGGGCTGTAACTGTGACTCGGACTAGACAGGCGGCAGACACTCTAAAGAAAGAGCAGGACCAGCAGAAGGCGGAAGACGAAGAACCTGCTCAAGGAGGGGAACGAAGTACGGCTGCAGCCGCGCAGCGCCTCCAGAACCAGCAGGTACAGCACTAGCACCCCCACGTGCAACACCAGCACTAGTAGCACCCCCAGCTACTGTACTGCCAACTCCAGTACCCTCAGAAGCACCAGTGCCAGAAGCAACTCCAGCGCCAACACCCTCAGGAGCTCCAGCTCCAGGCGGACCACCGGAAGACTCAACAGCCCCAGCTCCAGCACCTCCAGCAGCACTTGCTCCAGAAGTACCGCCAGCTCCAGCACCACCAGCAGCTCCAGTACAAGGAGCACCCCCAGGCCCAGCAGCTCCAGTACCTCCAGTACGAGCACCTCCGGGACCCGTGGCGCCAGCACCCTCAGCAGTAGCACCTCCAGCTCCAGCAGCACAGCTCCAGCGCCGGGCAAACGACTCACGCAACTCCTGTGGAGAGGGTAGCTCCCGCCGGGACGAAGCACCCAAAGGACCCCTAGACCCAGTACCGCCAGAGGCCACACGAGTAGACCCAGCACCCCTAGGCTCCGCACCCCCAGGCTCCGCACCCCCAGCCTCAGCACCTCCAAGCTCAGCACCCCAAGACTCAGCACCCCCAGACTCAGCACCCCCAGCAGCACGTGAGTCAACAGCTACCTCGACAGGCTCGACTGCGTCTACCTGGGACACACCTGACGAAGGCAAGACCCTGATGGGGGAGAGGGTCTACCGGGAGGGGACCTGGCGCGTGGAAGAGCGGCGGCGGGGGGAGGGGCGCATTGCGGTAGGGGAAGAGACGATAGTAAGGAACCGACTCGTCAAAGGTGACGTCCTGGGAGGACAGAACACGGAGCGAGGTGGGGTGGTAAAACTGCCAACCAGGCGCGTCCGGGGGGAAGCCAAGGAAGATGCAGGGAACAGCACGGGGGGACAACTTGTCCGCAGACAAGTCGCGGACAAACGCCCGAGATCCCCAGACACGAAACGCAGACGCATCGCCAACCTTCCCCGTCCACCGCAAGGTGGG